GATGGCGAAAGGCTGAACCACCTAGGATTTGCAGATGACATAGTTCTAATAACCGACGACTTAAAGGAGGCCAACGAAATGCTACAAGATTTACAACGAGTCTCCCAAAAAGTAGGGCTGGAAATAAACTTTGCGAAAACTAAAATGATGACCAACTTAGTACCTAGTGGACCATTGAAACTAGAAAACTGGCATATTGAAACGGTTGACAAATACATATATCTGGGCCACGAAATACAAATAAGTAGAGACAACCAAACATGCGAATTATCTAGAAGAATAGCTTTAGTATGGGCAGCTTATGGCAAGCTAAAAGACGTGTTTAAAGAAAACATCCCAATAAAGCTAAAGAGAAAAGCATTTAACCAGTGCGTACTTCCGGTGCTCACTTATGGAGCTGAAACACTGACATTGACTAAAGCATCAATAAAAAAGTTACAAGTAGCACAACGAAAAATGGAAAGATCTATGCTTGGCGTAACTTTGAGAGACCGAATACGAAATGATGAGATACGGCGAAGAACTGGAGTGGAAGACGTCATAAAACAGATTACAAAGTTGAAGTGGAAATGGTCAGGACACGTCGCAAGACAGAGAGACAACAGATAGACAAAGAAGATTTTAGAATGGCGGCCAAGGGCAGACAAGCGAAATCGTGGAAGACCACCTACCAGATAGACGGACGACATTAAAAGAATAGTGACAAACTGGATCGCAGCTGCACAGGACAGAGAAGAGTGGAGACATCTTGAGGAGGCCTATGTTCGACAGTGGACAAATTTGGCTGTGTGATGATGATGATGATGAACCTTCAATAGAAGATGAAACTTCGAAAAAAGAAGAACCCTTTTAAGCAACATTTTAATACATGCATATTCAACGCAATAATCCTTATTTTTATTGTTGTGTACACAAAAACTGACTAAATGAATGTACGTTCCACGTATATACTGATAAGATCATTTAAATGCAGAAATAAAAATTAATACTTGAAAGATATAACATTTAATTACGATGAGGAACAAAGTTCAAGATTTCAACGCTTCAATGATTTCAAGTACTCAACATTTCTATGATTTTTTAATTATTAGTCAAATATCGATATAAAAAGAATGTCCCACAAAAATATTGATCAAACATTCTGATCTAAATATTCAATAATTCTATTTAGGCACTACAATGGGTAGATATACTTCTATAATATATTGTATTAAAGTTAATTAATGTTTTCTTTTAAATTAGAGATTTCATATATTGCAAGACATAGGAATACTATTTGAAGTTTATAAAGTTGTATAAACGTAATATAAAAAAGTATTCGATAAAGTGTCAATTTCTTTAGAATAACAACTTAGTGACATGGTTCTATAAGATTTTTAAGCGAGCATGAAATTTTCCATAACTGTGTGAAAGTTAAGATTTGCATCCTTTGTTTATCCTCCATGCTTTGTTCCTGTTTTACCTCTTTATCTACTTTAACTTCATGCACTGGTGTATTATATTGTCCCAATCAAACCTGGAAGATACAAAGACGTAGATTATAGACTCAATAAATATTACAAACCCCAAGGAAAGAAAAACACTGGATGACTGATGAGACACTGAACCTAGTAGAATAATGAAGAAAAATTAAAAACAATATTTCAAATCCAACAAAAATTGAAAACAAGATAGCAAACAACTATTCTAAACAACTAGTCAAGAATCTAGAGAACTGCTTGCCAAAGTAAAATACCTAACTAAAGAGTTCAAACCACAAACGCAGATAATTAAAGATACATTGGGGACCATCATCACCAATCCAGAGGGCATAGTAGCGACATGGAAACAATATTGTGAAATGTTTTTTCATAGTGACCATGAAGACGTGAATGTGAAGACAGAAGAAATAAATGACGAAAAGAAACCACATATTTTAAAATCGGAAATAGAAACTGCAATAAAAAAAATTAAAAACTGGAAAATCTCAAGGAGAATCACGGCAGAAGCACTGAAAGAAATGAGAGACATAGGAATTGACGTAATAATCAAACTGTGTAATAAAATCTGGAACACAGGACAATGGCCAAATGATTGGTGTAAGCTCACTTTCATATCCATTTATAAGAAAGGCTCAACAACTGACTGTAATAACTACCGCACTGTAGCACCGATCTGCCACGCAAGTAAAGTTCTGCTAACTATAATTAACGAGAGATTAAAATCAATACTTCTACCACAGATCTCACAAGAATAATGTGGATTTGTCTCTGGAAGAGACACACGAGACAAATTTTCAATCTCAGATGAATTATTATAGAAAAATCTAAAGAATTTAATCTAGAAACATATTTGTGTTTCGTCGACTACTCGAAAGCGTTCGATAATGTAAAGTGGCATGAAATGTGGGGAATACTGAGAGAAATGGGTATCCCTGAACATCTAATATACCTACTGAAACAATTGATAATTTTGAACTAATAGCCGGTGTGTAATAATCGGTGTGTAATAATCGCTATATATATATATATATATATATATATATATACAGCGAACACATCATGCGCATTTTATTCGACAGATGGCAAGGAGAAATATCAGTCGGAGACCGAAAAATCAGCAATCTCCGCTATACTGACGACACTTTAGTACTAGCATTATCAACAAATGACCTTGAATACATCACGAATAGACTAGATACTTTTAGTCGTGAATATGAACTTAAAATTAATGTACAGAAGACCAAGGTAATGATAATCGATAAATATGAAACGTAGCGGAGTTTGAAGTGGTAAACCGTTTCAATTACTAAGGTTATGTTATCACAAACAATGGTGGATGCGAAGAAGAGATACGTCGCCTTACAATGACCAGATCAGCAATGATCAAACTCACTAAAATCTGGAAAGATACGGACATAACCAGAAACACGAAAACGCGCCTAGTACGGACGCTTATCTTTTCTATCGCTACTTATGCGTCAGAAACTTTGACTATTAAAAAGTCTGACTCACGACGTATAATGGCCTTTAAAATGAGGGTATACCGTAGAATGATGTGCATATTCTGGACAGCACATCGCACAAATGTCTCAATATTGACAGAACTCGACATCAATACTAGGCTTACTACAATCATCAACCAAAATATATTGAGGTACTTTCGTACCTTATTATCTTATTCTTGGTTCTACAGCTCACAAATTTTCATTATGTGATACATGCTAAATGTCTTTATTTCCCTATAGTTCTTACAGTCCTGAATATCTCCCTTATCTTTATACAGTGATACCATCATGCTGTCCCTTTATGCATTAAGGATCCTTTCGTACATACTACTCATCGTTTGCAACAACACATCAATCCCTTCCTATAGCCTTCCAAACATCCACAGGTATTTCGTCATGTCTTACAGCACTACCATTTTTCATCCTATATAAAATCTCGTCTCTCGATATTCCCGTATTAAATTTTAATTTAATGTCCAGCAATCTCTGGTTCTCCTCAAGTATTTTTAGTTAGCAACCTTTTAAAGTACTCTTTACCATTTTTGCTTTATTTTAACATTAAATCTTAACAAGTCTTTTGATGACTTGTCCTTGTTTTAGCAATTTTATATAACCTTTTTATCCCCTCGGATGTTTTTATCTCTGTACACAGCTTTGCAGACGATCTTTCCTTAGTATTAGCTACAGCGCGCTTTGCTTTCCTTTTAAGTAGCTTGTATTTCTCTCTTTTGGAGCCTCTTTACCTCTTTTTACCTTCTTTCTTAATCCTAACCTACTGTTAAAGTTGATCGTACTACCACCAAGTTTCCTTGTCTCTAAGAGGTCTTTTACCATACGTTTTTCCTAACACTTCATCTCTCACTCGTACCAAAACTTTCCTGTTGGCTTCCCATCAGTCATTTACTGTATCTTTTTTTCTCAAACTCTTCCAGCACTCTCCTTTTAAAATCTTCAATGCCAAATTATTTTTTCGTTAACTTTCACCACTTTACTTTATAATATCCTACTTGTTTTCCTTTTCACCTCATCTTTATCTTCGTATCTACTATCACCGGTCGATGTAGAGTAACTAGTGACTCACACTTTATCACTTTACAGTTGGTAAACTCTTTTAGCTGACTTCTTGCACACAGCGCAACATTTATCTGACGTTCCCTTCCTCCACTACTGTAGGTAACACACTGGTCTTCATTCTTCATAAAGAACGTATTATTCAGAGCCAAATCCCAGGCCACTGCAAAGTCAATCACACTATTTTCTTTTTTCCTTAAACATTTAGCACGGTGATACCCTTCTTATAGCTATTCAGAGATATTCTCGTATTTTTTATGAAGACGATATTTAATTCTTTCTCTACACTTTCGACATTTCCTCCCGTTCCCAACATATCATCAAGATATTGCAGATCCTCGTTTTAAGTGATTTTCCCCATGTTTAATTACTTCTGGCAGGTTGCCGCTGCTGCCTGCATTTTTATTGTTTTTTTAAACTTTTTATGGCTTCTTTGCTTTTTTCTATGATAGGTCACGTTGTTCCTCATTACTTATATTCGTTTCTTCGTTAAACAATTCTCTGAAATTCTTTTGATATCTTTTCAGTTTCCCCTTCCTATCTCTTATTAAATGACCAAATTGACTCTTGTAATTTTGAGTGTTTACTGCACCTTCTTGTCTCCTGTTTGCATTCACTTTTCAAGCTTATTATACTCTTTAGTCTTCCAAAATTATAAGACCCTAGGCTGATTTTATGGATGTGTAATGGAAATATCTCAAATATAAATCATTTCGGTATAATTTTGTTAATTTTAAAGATTATTCTTGAAAATTAGCAGTTTGATAAACAAATAAATCATTCTTAATGAAGTTCCATTAACACCAATCAAAAAATATCATAAATTGTGCCGCTCTGTAAATTTTGTTTACATTCAAAGTAGATGCTATTATCAGCTAATGTTTGTAATTTATATTCAGTGCAACTAGTACGTTATCATGGTTATTTCTTACATCACGAATCAATATTTTTTATAAAGTGTTCTCTAAGATTCATAAAAAATGTATACTATTATCCTGGTATTGTGCGTTATAGCAATATTTTTATTTCGATATTACACTCACCATAAATACTGGAAATATATTAACGAAATTCCAGGACCTACAGCTTTGCCGATTATTGGCAATTATCAATTGGTTAGTGTAGACAATGGTAAGTAGGTATTTCTGTTTCTTGTTTATTATCGAGGTGCCCAGTTATGTTCACCTAACGTTAGAGATGAGTTTGGTGAGCTCCTATCTGCCGTTCTTCCAAGGCTTGGCGCTGTGGATGCTTGTATACTTTCTAAAGAGTATATTTTTCTTTCCTTTTCTTTCCTCGCAATATAAATCAAAATATATTGCATCTGTTGCCATATGTTACGTAGTACCAATTTGAATACTTTAATATTAAATAACTTAAGTTTCTTATTGTTTTTTTAAAATATTTTTCTAAACATTTTATAAGAATTAAGATGTATTTAAAACACAAGATGTATTTTACATGTCTCACCTCCTACACGTGTTTCGAGGTTTTGCCTCGCATCAGAAACACTTAGAAATATCATAGAAGGGCTGAAAAACTTAATGAACAAAATAACGGAATCAAGTAGAACATACGGACTTGATATAAACACCAGCAAACCCAAGCTAATGATCATCAGCAAGGAAAACATAACGGAGCAAATCTGTATGTGAACCAAAAGATAATTGAACGTGTCTCACAATACAACTACTTGGGAACCATAATCAATGAGTCGTGGAACAACACCTAAGAGATTAAATGTCGCATCGGAGAGGCAAAAAGTACATTCTTGACTATGAGCTCTGTGTTCAAGAGTCATGACCTCACCCTAGAAACAAAAATAATGCTCCTTAAATGTTACGTGTACTTAGTGCTTCTGTACGGAGTAGAAACGTGGACATTGAAGGCGGAAACTCCAATAAAACTTTGGGCTTTTGAGCTATGTTTATACTGAAGGATCCTGAAGATACCGTGGACAAAGTCACCAAGGAAGAAGTAAACGCGGATTTAGTCAACATTGTAAAGGACCTTAAGCTGTAGTACTTGGGACATATAATCAGAAATCAAGGCAGATACGAGCTGCTTCAATGCAAGGTAAAATTGAAGGAAAAAGGACCTCAGGACGAAGAAGAACACCCTGGCTTTCTAACCTGAAAGCATGGTATAGAAAGACCTCAACACAGCTATTTCGTATAGCAACCAACAAAGTCATCATAGCCAGAATGATCGCCATCGTTCGAAACAGACAGGCACCCTAAGAAGAAGAAACACTTGTGGTAGCTTGAACTGAAAGGAAATACTCTTCATCTGACTATGGCCGTTATAGTAACATAACATGACTAAGTATGCTAGTAGTGACCTCGATACATAAAGCAAGAAGAATTTAGGATACTTCTCTTCGACGGCGAATTTCTAGGCTATTCAAAACATCATACAATAGCTTCCAGTAAAATTGGATTCGAAATTTACCTCAATTATCATCGATGATGAGTCGATTGACTTGTTTTCCGCAGTACTTCAGCCATATTAGCGTATATCCGTCTCACCACATTTTGCCATGTACGTCACTGGGTGTACTTTCCTAGCGAGAGTTATGTGGTGCATTTATCCATGTTTTTTGGTATCAACCAGTGCTTCTTGAAATTTTTACGACCCACTCTCGACGAAGTACTTTGGACCTAATCCTCTTCTGCCGACTTCATTAGTCTTCCACTTTTGTCGCTGTGTACTCTCGATAATTTGAAACCCATCCAGAAACATAAACCTAGAGTAAACCATAAGGCTTCAAAAAGCCTATAGTCACTTGACTACACGTGCATACAATGATTAACTTTATTTTGCAAGCCCGTAGTTTTATTCTCAACATCCATCTAAGATGAAAACAAATTTGGTTTTGGCTTTAAAACTAGGGTTATCAATTTGTCACACATAGAATTCAGAGGCAAGGGACTAAAACAGTTGAGATCCATACTACAAGAGAATTCTTATCCCATAGGGCTTTAAATAAACTCATTTTCGGTTCTCCTTTTCCTTCACAAGTTTCTGTCAACCAAAATTTTCATAACAATGAGATCCGACAATTGACATGACACATAACGCAGCAATATTACCATCTAAAATAACTTATGGTTGCCTACCCTAATTCCATTTTTGACACCTAAGCTAATGAACATCTTTAAAAATGTTAGTGGCTTAAAAATTACAACCAAAAATGTGAAAACAGTATCGAAGCTTTACACAAAAACAAAAGATCCTTTCACAATACAGGAGTCATCGAATGTTGTTTATTCTATACCGTGTAGTAACTGCAATAAAATTTACATAGGAGAATCATCTCGTAATTTTCACAGCAGGGTGATATCACATCGCAGTGACATAAAAACCAAAAAATCAATGCATGTGCATTGACAGAACATGCACTAACTCTAAAACATGAGTTCAAGTTCGATGATTCCTGTATTTTGGCAAAAGAAAAGAACCATTTAAAACGTGTTTTTTTGGAAATGTGTTTCATAAAATCTAGCACATCGTGTATCAATAAAAAGTCCGATATAGACAAATTAAGTAACATTTATTGTTATTTACTAGAAAAACACCAAAAATAAAAATTAAATAAATATTTACCTGTACAAAAATTACACCTCTGTATAATATGTTGCATACCATTAAGACAGGTTAAAAATTATAGACACCTAAGAAAGGCCTCTAGTATTACTTGTAAAGAAAGATAACATCAATTTACACCTAATTACATATTAATTACACTGTTTTTTCTTTCCATTCTCTGTATGAGTTAATATACACCAGTAAAACATGCCATCAATCAAGTTTTACTATTTTTACAACAAATTTTAAAAATTTTATTATGTATTATGTCCATAATTGTATATTTTAATGTGTGGTATAAATGTTGAGTGTTCAATGCTTACAAAAATAATCTCAACGACTAGTAAGTTACACTGAAGAATTGTGATATTTTTTAAATATTTACATAATTGTCTTTTACAGTGTCTTGAAAAAGGAATAAAAAATATTCCAAAAGCTCGACAAAAAGTCAAAAGAGTGTTTTTTTAACATCCGGCCAATATTTCTGACTGCAACCCTAATAAACTGTGTTGTTTGTATATATATATATATATATATATATATATATATATATTATATATATATATATATATATATATAATATATATAATAGATATAATAGATGTTATAAACCTAATAATAGTTTTACAAACCTCTTTCCAATTACCTCAATTGTAATTTTACTAATAAAATTAGATATTAAAATCATCTCCAATTAAAAACAAATAAAATGTCTGTTTTTAAAACGTTCTTATTGCTTACCCACAGCTATCTAAAAGCTACAGATATAGTCTCTAGTTACCAGTATATTTAGTGAAATCTTCATCCAAAACCATTCTTAAACCTTAATAGAGAGTTCTTTTGTAAATGCTGTGATTATAATAATTAGTTTACTATATTAGAATAATCTCAAGCTAATGTTTTAGGTAGTAAGTAGTTATCTGTTTTGTAGAGTAACATTATGTAACTTATTATATGCATTTCTTTTTGTTTAATGTATTTATTCTATTATAATTTATATTTTATTTTTTATAGTGGAACTTTTTAGAATCACCCGCGAGAGATCAAAAATTTTTTATCCGATATACAAAGAATGGAGCTTCGGATTTTATTTGGTTAGCCTTTTGGGCCCACCTGAAGACATGGAGGTAACTAAAAATACTAATTTAGTTTTACTTATCACCAATATCTGTGTAGTAAATTAAAGATAGCAGAAAATTTTAAAAATCCCTTAAAAATATATGTTAACATACAAAAAGTTAGGGGTCAATAGGATATGTAGTGTTAAACACATCAAAGATAACACAGGTCTACAGAAAAAAATTGTTTTGGTGCCTTGAATCTTTAAGCTGATTTTTACTATAGTAGTATAATAGTATAACAAATTGAAATATGGATTCGGTTTTTTTTGTATCAGCTCTAGTTTTATGGATATGGCACCTTACAAAATTATTAGTTTTAATATTTGAGATAATGAAGAAATATACATTGGAATATTTAAAGGAATATACATTGTTAATTAAACTTCTTCCTCAGTATATTTCGACTCATCCAGCGAAGACTGTACTAACTCATTTTTTGAAGTTTTCGAATAAAGCAAAATAAAGTCTTGATTAGCGCAAAAAATCAGGGGTTCTTAATTATTAAATTATTTTTATATTTATCCATTGTGTTTACCGTATTGTTCCGTTTGTGCTTTTAAACATGTCAATTTTGTTTCTTTATCTGGATTTTGAATGAGTTAGTACAGTATTCGCTGGAAAAAAATCTGGAATATAAATAATACATACCATCGTTCTGTGAAATTGTATTTATGATTAAAGTCTACATCAAAGTTAAATTACAAAATATTATAAACACACGTTATTGCAGGTCTTCGTCGTCACTGCAGTGATTTCATACTTTTATGATGTATCAGATGTAGACTTCTACGGAAGCCATGATACATAGTAGGAATGTTTCCAGTATCACAAAGCCATAATAAGCCAGTTAACTTCTTCTTATCTATTGGCAAAAGATTTGTGTATACTTTAGATGGAAATTGATCAATACGAGATGGCCTTCCCCTTTTTGCTTTTGTTAGATCACACCTGATAGAATGGGAACTTAAAGCATACTTAAAAAAAATAACATTTGGTGTGTTATACCAAGTACTGTCTTCTTTTATTTGACTGATTTTGATCATTCCTTTTCCATTGTCAGTTTTCCAATTTTTATCGCCAACAAGACTTTTGCAATCTAAGAAGTCTTCTTGTGGCATTTCTGTTGCATTATATACTGTTCCGACAGTTTTGGCCATTCTTATCAAAGTAATCCATTGTTCAAGAACATACAAGACCGATTGACGTTTTTCCGCGTTTTCAATTACAGCATGCATGCTGTTTCCCTCATTTTGGTTGTGACCCTTTTCTAAAAATCTATGAATAATACTAACTTGGAAATACGCAGCTGCATAAGAGAACATTGAAAATATGGTATGGTTTCTGTTTTTCCCACCACAATCCAATTTAAAATTTCATGTCATAGATTTTAAATTTTTATGTCACCGAATTTATTCGCGGCAAAATACAAAAACTGCATGTGAAACATGCAGTTTTTATTTTACCTTTAAAACCCTTTTTACACTTTTTACCTTTAAAACGTATCTTGATTTTTGTCGATAGAAAACTTGGATCAAAAGATACCGAATTTTTACCGTCTAGTTGATACAAACATTGGGAGAAAGCCCTTTCTTTAAGATGGCGCCAGGCAAACCTAGAAAGACAGACTAGACATAAGAGAAAAGTCAAACAAAATTAGACCATAGCTCTGTAAGTAAACAGCATAGACAAGTACCTGACACGGAGATCGGATCTCCATGTAGGTAGGAGTAGCAAGAAATATCGAGGTACTTTGCAAGGAAATGAAGCACAGATTTTTAATGCGTCTTGGAACTTGGGTGACTATGATAAACAAAATATTTATCTTTTTTCCCAAATCAAATCTGTTATAAAAAAAGAACCTACCCCAAAAACAACCAAAATACATGTATCATCGCGAAATGTTTCAATACAATACTTTATAAAGATCAATTTATATAGATATAAAAAATATGCAAACAAGAGTTTTTTGCAGTTCATGGATTGCAAGAATAAAAAAAAAGAATTCAAATTTTATGCGAACAAAAATAATGAAGGAAGGTGGTAGCACCCCAAAACATCAGCAGACAGGTTAAAGACTCAACTTGAGTTACACCATCGAAGGGCCAAAGCTTTAAAAAGCCTGAAAGATGAAGTAGATAATTGCTAATAGAACAAAAGATACACTTGTCATCAGTTTTGATTTACAGCAAGCTACCTACCTGTACCTTCATTGACAGTTGATCACTTTTTATTTACGAAAAATCTGGACCTATAACTTAGGAATACATGACTGCGTTGAAGATATGAGATAAACTCGTATGTATATGTGGCTCGAACACTTAGCAAAATTGTCCCATAGATGTTCCATTTTCTGTTCTTTGATATTTCTTTACTCCACAGAACTCTATGTGTCCAATCCTCGGGATTTATGGGATTTAGAATCACTTTCTTGTTAGTCGGCTTCTTAACAGAGTTTATAAACTTCCACGCCTTAGTGCATTGTCGTCCTCCAATATAAGATTCTATCTCTCTGCACCTTCTGTCCCATGTCTCATTTTTGGAGGTCATAATTATCTTTCTAGTTTTCTTCTTAATTTCATTGTATCGGTCTTTGTTTGCGTCATTTTTTGTATTTAACCACTTATGGTATAATCTTTTCTTTTCTGTTACCACATTTTCGGCGTCTTCATTCCACCAAAGCTTGTTACTAATTTTATTTTGTTTGATTCCTAAGACCTCCTGTGCTGTTTGATGAATACTTGATATTATGTTCTCATATATGCATTTGGTATTTGTTAGTGTTTTGTCAAGTTTGGAGTTCATTCGAGTCTTATATAGTGTACGGGTGCTCTCATGAATTAAACTGGACAGATTGTATTGAGGAAGATCAATTCTTTCTAAAAGTTGTTCGTCTTGGCTTGATGAGATACTGTCCTTTAATCTATATGGGAAAACAATTTTTGACCTGACCATGTGGTGATCTGATCCGCATACTGCTCCTCTCATAGCTCCAATATCTCTAATTAGTATTTGTGAATTTTGTTTAACTATCACGTAATCTGTTTAATTCCTAGGAATTAGACAGGGCGACACCATCTCCTCCCAACTATTCACTGCAGCTCTGGAATATGCCTTTAAAAAACTAGATTGGGCTAAAAGGGAAATAAATATTGATGGTGAATACTTAAGCCACTTGCGCTTTGCAGATGATATTGTCATTATAGCCGAGAGTTTAAATGAAGCTTACAAAATGATGGAAGAACTAAAACAGGCAATAGAACAAATAGGCCTGAACATAAACTTTGAAAAAACAAAATACATGACCAATTTGGTTCCAAGTGATGTTATGAGGGTAGATGGGAACGAAGTACATCAGGTCTTTAGCTATATCTATTTAGGGCATGAAATTAGAATAAGAAAAGACAATCAAACTTGTGAGATCCAGCGTCGCATAGGCTTGGGATGGGCAGCATTTGGCAAGATGCGAGATATTCTAAAAGGAACGCTACCGATTTGCTTGAAGAAAAAGGTTTACAACCAATGCATACTGCCAGTAATAACATATGGTTCCGAAACAATAACTTTAACCAAACATTCTGCAAATAAATTGAGAGTACCCCAAAGAAAAATGGAAAGAGCAATGTTGGGAATAACTAGAAGAGGTATGGTACCAAATAGGATAGTGACAGAGAGGACTAAAGTGACAGATGTCATAGAAAAAATTGCACAAGCCAAATGGAGATGGGTTGGACATATAGCACGTTTAAATGATAATAGGTGGACCAAAAGACTCAGAATGGAGACTTAGAGAAGACAAAAGACACCGAGGCAGACCACCAAAAAGATGGATGGACGACTTGAGAAAAATAGTCGGAAATTGGATACAGAAGGCGCAAGATAGAGAACAGTGGAAGAACATGGAGGAGACCTATATCCAACAGTGGATGCAAGAGGTTGAGGAATGATGATGATGATGATGATCACGTAATCTATTATAGACTTAAAATTTCTTGTTGGTTGAAACCATGTATATTTGTGTATGTTTTTGTGACAGTAATATCCGTTAGTTATTTTGAGTCTATTACTTTCACAGAGATTGATAAGTCTTTCTCCGTTATCATTTACGACGTCTTCTCCATAAGGTCCAATTACATTGTTGTGACGCTTGTTTCCTGTTCTTCCATTAAAATCGCCTAATAAAAATATTTCTCGTTTATTTCCAACTCTAGTAATAACTTCGTTTAATTTTGCAAAGAATTCGTCTTTTGTGGTTACATTCTCATCCTCTGAGGGGGCATAGATTGCTAGTATTGTTGTTTTTTATGGTGTATCCACATGTGTGGATGCAAGCCACATTTTTTCGAATTTTTATTGTTTTTTTTTCTATAAAAACGACTTTTTTTAAAATTAGCTTAGCGTTTCAAGGATAGTAGATATACAGTTTTCAAATAACACCATTTACTGAATTTCTAATCTATCTTTGGTATTTCAGGATTTGATTAAAACCTATATAATTGATTTTCTCAAAAACTTACTTCTGTGGCATATACTGTTGTTGCTTTAAGGTCTTCAATTATATGTTATACTCTTTAATTATTCTTATTCTTTATATCTAGATACCTATATTATCATTTAAAGAGCATTTTATTTTTTAGCTAATTTTAGGACATTCAGAAAATAACAACAAAAGTTTTGTATACAAATTTTTAAGGAATTGGCTTGGAACAGGGTTATTAACCAGCAATGGTAGCAAATGGCATTCCAGGCGAAAAATACTGACGCCAGCTTTTCACTTTAATATATTACAGAAATATCTTGAAGTGTTTAATAAAGAAACCGAAATTTTAGTCGACGAACTGGCTAAGGACGCTGGAAAGGAATATATTAATGTAGTGAAACCAATAACTGATTTTACGCTATTTTCAATAGGAGGTGAGTATATATGCGTTTCTTCTTCTTCTTTCTGTGCCATACCCAATTATCGTTAGTTGTCTATCAAATTGGCTATACTTTCGTCGTTTTGACGAAATGCCCCTGATGATGCTTTAGAAAGCGAAACTACTTGGGCAAGATTTAATTCTTAAAATTGTGCTCGATATCTGCCTTTAATTTTTCAAAGTTCATTTATTCGAGCATTCAACCTTTTATCAAATAATAACTTTGTTTACGGAGGCTCTAAATAAATTAGCGGTGGTCTCTTGATACCATTCTCAGAGATTTCGGAGCCAGCATGTTTTTCGTCGGCCTGGGCCTCTCCTTCCGGCGATCTTACTCTGTATTATGTGTTAGAAGGTTATACCTTACTAAATGTCCCATTACATGACCGAAATATTGTAACTTTCGAATTTTTATCGTTTTTGTTATTTCTGTGCTCTTTTTCATTCGATGTACAACTATTTTATTTCTTATTCGATCAACCCAACTTATCCGCAATACTGGTCGATAAATCCACATCTCAAAGGCCACTAATTTTTTCATTACTGTCTTTGTCAGGGTCCAGTTCTCCATACTATGCAGCAATGTGGAGAATAGGTAGCAGCGTATTAATCTGATTTTAATATTTAACGTATTATCTCTATTAATTAGAATTTTCTTTAATTTATAGAAGGCAGCTATGGCTTTTTCAATGCGTATTCTTATTTCTTTATTTATATTCAGTTATCGTTAACGTTTCCACCCAAGTAGGTAATATTGTGGACTCTTTCTAACTCTATTCCATACGCTCTGATGTTCGTTGGTTGTAACTCCGTTTTGCTGACAACCATAAGTTTTGTCTTAGAAGTATTAAGTTTTAGCCCATACTCATATGCTTCGGTTACCCTGTTTATGTCGTTGCAGGTCTTCTTCATTGGAGTCAATAAGTACCGTATCTTCTGTCTATCTGAGATTGTTGATATTAGTTCCTTCTGTTTTAATGCCTGTATCTTCAACTAATAATTCTTTAAAAATAATTCGGAGTAGATATTAAAAAGTAGAGGCGAGAGAATACATCCTTGCCTCACTCTACGTCGTATTTCCACTGCTTCCGTCGTGTTGTGTCCAGCTCGTATGTTTGCACATTGATGCCAATACAAATTTTTAATAATACGGAGGTCTCGGTCATCAATTCCCACCTATTGCAAGATACCTATAAGTTGTTTGTCATGATTAACTCGGTTCAAGGCCTTTGACTTTACTTTTAGGCACAATCAACTGAAGCTTAGATGATTCTGTACCATCATCATTCTCAACCAAGGTTCTTTACAGAAGATCATCGTTAAGTACTAGGCAGTTCTACTGGCTCCAGTAACACTTGACTTCTGGACTATATGCACTAATGTTTTGTCAAGAAGGTCTTTCACTTCGACGCAATCCAATACTCTTTTTATGCGTGGATCATCTGCGTGAGCATCTTGTAGCTGTTGAGGCTGCCATTTGATCATTAATGACGCTGGTTGGTCTCGCGGGGCAAAGCCGTTCTCCTAATTTAAGACAGTGATTATAATTTGCTCTGCATGGCTGTCTTGACTGAGCATCAGCATTTGAATGACTTTTTTCAGTCCGGTGTTCGATCGTTTCTAGTTGTCTTCATCATCAATCAGCCAATCGCGCCCACTGCTGGATATAGGCCTCCCTCAGTTTTTTCCAGTGTTCTCTACACTGGGCGGCTTGTAGCCAGTTTCCCGCTACACGTTTTATATCATCGGTCCATTTAGTCGGTGGTCGTCCTCGGCTTCTTTTATAGTTTCTGGGCCTCCATTCCATAATACGTCTTGTCCACCGTCCATCTTGTGTTCTGGCTAAGTGCTCTGCCCAGTTCCACTTAAGCGTCGTGGTTCTTTCGATGACGCCTTGAACTCCTGATCTTTGCCGCCTGATTTGTTGGTTTGTTATGTGGTCTCGAAGGCTCACGTTCAGCATTGCACGTTCCATAGCTCGTTGTGTAACTCTGAGTTTATTCGGAGATTTTTGCGTGAGCGTTAAAGTCTCTGCTCCATAAGTTTGTATAGGTAAAACACATTGGTTATAAACCTTTCGCTTGAGACACATGGGAATTGAACTTTTTAGAATATGGCTTAATTTTCCAAATGGTACCCATGTTACCCTATTCGCCTCTGTATTTCATGTGTTTGATTGTCTCTGCTTATTTTGATTTCGTGTCCCTGATATTTGTAAGTGTCTGTTTGTTGTATGGTATTATCGTCAATAGTTATATTTCCACTCATTACGAGATTTGTTATAAGTTTAGTTTTCTCAAAGTTTATCTTTAATCCTGCTCTTTCAGACAGACTTTTAAGCGAATGCATCATAGAAACTGTATCATGTAAATTATCAGCGATTAATACAACATCATCTGCAAATCTTGGGTGATTTAATCTTTCTTCATCTATATTGATGCCCATATCTTGCCATTGAGTGCTCTTAAATATTGACTCTAGGGCTGCCGTGAACAATTTTGGTGAAATATTGTCTCCTTGTCTAACTCCTCGACCTAAGCTGTATTTTTCTGTGTCTTCGTGTAGTCGTATACTCGATGTAGCGTTCTCGTAGATGTTTTTGATTAGTGTCGTGTACTGTAATTTATTCGGCTTTGATTTAGGGCCTTCCAGTATTTTTTAAACTCTACAGAATTAAAAGCCTTCTCGTAATCAACAAATGCAAGAACCAGTGGTATGTTGTACTCGATGCACTTTTCTATTAAGATCTTTATGGTATGCAAATGTTCATTTGTGCCATATCCTGCCCTGAAGCCTGCCTGTTCTTTGGGCTGATAGAAATCAAGTTTAGGTGTTAGCCTCTTTGTTAAGATTTCATAAAGAGTTTGTACATATGTGTCAAGCGGCTGATGGGTCTATAATTTTTCTGATTTAGTAATATCTCCTTTTTTTGTGTAACAAGACTATTACTGCATTGTTCCAGTCTTCTGGAATCGTACCGCATGTAAGCATTTATTAAACAGTTCGCTTACTGATTTTAATAAAATTTCTTCTCCTGCTTTTATTGCCTCTATAACGAGTCCATCATCACCAGGCGATCGATGGTTCTTCATTTTCCTTTAAAGCTGCTCTTATTCTGACACAGTAATGAGTAAAAGTATTTCGATCCCTGATTTAATGAGTCTTTGCTCGTGTCGGGAAATTGTCTTGTGGTCTTTGGCTGGTATAGAGGTCTTTATAAAACTCTCTGGTTATTTTCAGAATGTTTTGTTTATCTGTTGTTGCCTTTCCGCCTTTATCTCTTAGCTTGTATATTCCTTTTTTACTTTGTGTGAGTTTTCTTTTCAATATCTTTAAACCTTTGTTCTGGGATTATTACTCTGTAAAGTTTCGGCTATATTTTTTATGTATGCTTCTGGATGATTTGATGAATTCCAAGCTATGCGTTTGCAACTCTTTATCATCTTTGCTCATTATTTTTGTAGATTTATCGTTACTCTAAGCTCTTACTGGTCTGTGGTCGCTTCCTACTGATAGTTTATTTGAGTACAGACACATCTTGAATAATTGGCTTTGTGTCTGTTATTATATAATCATAATTGCTCTTAGTTCTTCCGCCTGGACTAGCCCACGCCCATTTTCTATTCTGTTTCTTCTTAAAAAAGTGGTTCATTGCATACAGTTTGTGTTGCAGTAGAAAGTTGGTAAGCATTTCGCCTGTTTCGTTTCTTACTCCGATTCCAAAATCTCCGATTGCCACTTCTTGTTCGTCCTTTTTCCTTCCGAGTTTCCCGTTAAAATCGCCCAATATCAGATTGTACTGAGCCCGTTCCTGCTTTTTGCTCTTTCGATTTCTCATAGAAGGCTTTGACAATTTCATCTTCGTAATCGCTGGTGGGGCGTATACCTGGATTATTTTCAGATTGTATCTCTTATTTAGTCTTAGATTTATATACATAACTCTTAGGGAAATGCAATCAATGCTCTGTATATTTTTCTGTAATTTTTTGTGTACTAATAAACCTATTCCTCCAGTTTTCGATTCCGTTTCCACTTTATAGTGGAATATGTCTCCTGATTTTAGTTTGACTTCGCTAATTCCTATAATATCCCATTTCACATGTTTGAGTTCTTCCTCCAGTTCTGTCATTTTTTCATCCTTAGATAAGGTTCTTACATTATACGTAATTATGTGCAACGTTCGTCGTTCTTGGTAGCCTCTTACATACCGGGGATTCTTCGCCCTTGGTTGGGAACTAGCGAGCTACCCGGGACTGAGGGCCGTTTTCTTAAATGTCTGTTCATGCTGAGGGGGTTTTGACATTTAAACACCACGCTTGCCAGGCGGGTTAGTGAGTTGGTTTGTAAAATTGGTGAGATAGTAGGTATTGGGTAGGAATGGGGTTAGGACATGATTTCTCTCCACAGGAGTTGAGGGAGAATCAAGGCTCACGTAGCGCAGGATCGCATCCCTGAAGTAAGTCTATCCTCCACTGGGATTGTGGAAGAGTAGCAACCCGCTTTCTAGCTTTATGATTGTTGTAGTATTTTCTTGCAATTTACGGCAATTGTGACCTACGTCGCCACGATTCCTACATCTGATTTCGTGTCTCTTTTATCGTTTTGTTCGTCGCTCTCTTCAGAGGTTCATACTCCCTAGCTCCGTGAAGCTCGACTAGCTGTTTCGTGTTCCAAAGCAATGGTGAGCGCTTCATCTAAAACTTTCGGTCTTGCTATAAAGCTTTTTGTAGTTCACTGCCTCTCAATCAATTGACAAAAGTATCTACAGCAATTTATTCCAAAATGTTGTTTGGTACCTCTGGATAAGCCAACCACTTCAATTTTCAGTGAACTGAATTGTAAGTCTTCAATTGTTAATTTATTAAATATTTTAGAATCAGCGTTGGGGGTGAGTCTACGTGAAAAGAATTGTGATGAATATAAGAAGGCTATTCATGAGCACGGAAAAATTGGCGCGTACAGAATAACCAAACCACTTCTGTATCTAGATTTTATATTTAATATGTTTCCAATTAGTAAGGAACTTCAAAAATGTATACATACTTTACACGATTTATCAACAAATGTAATTCGAGAAAGGGAGCAAAGCAAACAAACGGATGCCGAAGGAAATTTTTCCTATTCGAGAAGAAAAAGACTGGCTTTATTAGACCTTATGCTTGAAGCAAGGGCAGCTGGTGAAAATATTGATGAAAAAGGAATTAGAGAGGAAGTAGATACTTTTATGTTTGAGGTAAAATGTTAGTTTTAAATTATAAAGACACGTTTTAGGTGTTTTTGTTTTAGGGACATGATACGACATCGGTAGCACTGTGCTATATTTTGTTGACTTTAGCTAATGAGCAAAACCATCAGGTAAGACTATCATTTTTGCTTAGATGTTCACTGTACAAGTTTATTTTTTTATAAACAGTTAATTAACAAATTGTGTGGTATAGGACTCACCTTTGATAAAAAAATGCGTTCTTTTGGTGCATTTATTCCTTTGTCTTATGTAATAATAATTAAATTTTTTTTTGTTTTGCACAGTTTTGCATTTATTCATCCGAAATTTGTTCTTTTGCAAGGTATATGCAAATGATAGCATAACATGTCTGAGTATGGTAGAAGCGACCTCTATATGAAGTAACAAGAAGTCAGAAGACTTCTCTTCGATAGCAAATTAGGTGAACAGCAATTTCAAGCTTACTAGAAGCTATTGAACGATGTTAGGAATAACTTTTTTTTTTCGAAAATACGTCTACAGTTTACCTTTGAAAAATACTGCAGATCTGCGGTTCACCTAATTCGCTATCGAAGAGAAGAAGCCTTCTGGCTTCGTATAGAGGTCGCTGCTAGCGTACTCAGGCATGTAATGTTACTAAAACAATTATACGAGTTAAGGTTTTTTTTTTATAAAATAAGGCAACTTTTAGGAATGCAATAATAAGAGTTAAGAATTTTAATGATTTTAAAATATATATACCTAGTATATAAAAGAAGATTAATGTTGATTAAGTTTTAAAGATAGTTTAACTACAAAAACAAGATGTACAACAATGTTTAATAGCCATTTGCCCAATTTTACTATCAACAAAAAAAATATTCTTTTGATTGGGAATACTATACCATTTTGGTAATGTACCTTCGTCTCTTTTAGCAGTGTTTATTAGATATATAAAAATTGATGTATACTGTATTTATCGTCTATTTCTAAAATTTGGGACACGATGTTTTGATAACGCCATTTGCAACTTGCAAAGGCATGGATTACAATGTTGCCACTAACACATTTTTTGTGGTGGATACTCATAATTCTTTAGAAATAAGTTATTGTAAATTTAAGAGGAGATTTTAGTAGAACTTGCTACATAATTTTTTTTTTGCAAAACATTGTGTAGTATAATCATTCTTTGGGTAAATATGCAAAACTAGTAAAAGCATGGCAACAGCACTTACATCAACGTCATAAGTCTCTTGCTATGTCATACCCCCACCTAACGTGACTAGTAGCGCCGCCGCCATTACGAACGGCTGGGCTCACTGGACTCAAATCACTCTCTCCACCCGTTCTATTCCATTGACACTACTATTTGTGGTATATACTGACTTATTCTACGAAATAAAGTTTATTTTACAACAATTATACTTTATTTCAATTAATAAAAGTTGGTACGTAATAAGAACTCAGATAAATTACAGAGTTTACACATTGTGGAGTGTTCAAAGTATAGTTACTTAGATTAATTAGATTTTATTTAATACTTATTCTTATTCTGATATTTTAGGCAAAAATATATGAAGAGATTCTCTCAGTCTTAGGAACAACTCAATATCCAACTCAGCAACAACTAGGGGAGCTCAGGTTCATGGAAAGATGCATTAAAGAATGTCTACGTATTTATCCGAGTGTGCCATTTATTTCCCGAGTTACTGGAAAGACTCTACACACCCATTCTGGGTACACAATACCTAAGAATTCGACAGTTCTTATATTTATTTATGACTTGCATCATAACGCGGAAGTATGGGAGGATCCAGAGAGATTTGATCCTGATAGATTTTTACCAGAAAATGTTGCCAAAAGACATCCGTTTGCATATTTACCGTTCAGTGCCGGAGGAAGAAACTGTATAGGTAACGAAATTGTTTTAATATATCAGGGGGAAACATAACCGCTTTCTTGATTTCGTGTGTTGTGAGTGGGAGATTATAATGTTTGATTTTCTTTTAGAAAATAACATAAACATCGACTTGATAGGTGTTGAAATAACTTTCTTTGGGTTTTCACCATTCAAAATGTCTGCTGGTGTTATATCTGAATTCATTTTCAAAATATAACTTTAAAAACTTCTTTAAAAAACACATTTTGTTGCATCACTCACTTCAGTACATGTAAAGATGTACAACAGCTGTGTGGCGTTATGTTATTCAAATACACGCTTCTGATTGGTTGGCTTTAAGAATGCAAGTTTTGCAAACAATTGTGGAGGAGAATGAGAGTTTTGGAAATAAACGCTACTTTCAAAGCATATTTTAAATAGTATATTGTTAGATTTAAACTATAAAAATATCACAAGCTTGTCCATTTAAATATGGGGAATAAGAAACAAATGTATTCTAAATTTGATTAAAATTTGAGAATGTGAGTTTTGCAGTTAGACCCCTCATTTGACACTTCTACGCTTCAATTATTATGACCAGTGAAAATATATAATCTAATATATTTTTATTTTAGGCCAGAAATTTGCTATGTTAGAAATAAAAGCGGTATTGTGTGGAATCCTTAGAAAATTTAAATTGGAGGCAGTACACAAACGAGACGACATCAAATTTAAAGCAGATCTCGTATTAAGACCAATTGGTGAAATACGAGTCAAGTTTTCTCATCGGCAATAAAAATACACTTAATGTCACATACTGAATACCCTAAAATGCTTAACACAGGCAAATGTTTTCGAAGTCGTTAACAAGAAGGCATAATGCTTGAAGGAAGATATAAATTAGCTATTTGCTTTGACCTTATTGCGGTTGTTAGTTCGACAATATTTTGTTAAATCAATAAATTAAATAAATGGATTATTATTGAATTTAGTTATTTACGGATTTTGGCAATTTTTTTTTATACTTAGGTCAGTGTCGATGTATTTTGATATATAAATTTTTAATTTATCCTTTCTAGACGAAGAATTATATTTGGATAATTAAATGTCAATATTAATTTGAAAATAAATAAATCTAAGTATATAATAAGTTCTTTTGTTATACGAATTTTGGTGACTGCGGATCTAGTAGTTTTACCCAAGAGTTTAAAGATTGGGGAAACTTACAGTAAGCCTTACTTCGACACTAAACAAGCAGAAATCACAAGAAAACTTGACAGATTTAGAAAAAAATTTAAAACGTACAGGTTTGCCTGAGATTGCTAAACAAACTGTCCGAACAACAGCAGTTTCCAACACGGTGGAAAGGAGCTAAGGTTGTCCTTATCCCGAAATGTACAGTAGACGAGAAAGAGGTGAGCTTTTAGCCAATTTGCCTTCTTAGTTCAGTAGCTAAATTGTACAAAAATATCTTGTGAAAGGCCGTCTTGAGCTAGAGCTGAAAGAAAAACATGCGCTTAGCGAGCCCCAATATGGTTTTAGAGCCAAAAGGTTGACTTTAGCTGCAGTCACAGCAATGATTTCTTTAGTCAGGCAAGATACGAATAGATAGCTAGCTCTTATACTACTTGACGTCGAGAATACCTTTAGTATGGTACCATGGGAAAAACAGGTCCAGGCTGAGTGAGTACCTGGTCAACATGGTTGACAGATACCTTACTGGCAGCTCCATAAGGGAAAAAATACTAGCATCAGGTGGCGAAGGGTGTTCCGCAGGGTTTGGTACTAGGTCCTACTCTGCGGAATGTTCTGTACGACAAAGCATTGAGGCGACAAATGCCAAGGAGGTGCACTCTGATAGTTTATGATCTTGTACTGGTTACGAATGCAGCTAACGCAACCCTGCATCATATTAGTAGGTGGATCAGAGAGAACGATATATAGCTAGCACCTCAGAAAACCGAGGTGGCAGTTCTCAAGGAGAGCCAGGAAAAATCTTCTCCTCGCTTTATCGTGAAAGGGGTGTAGGTTGTACCAGTTAAATCAGTTAAGTATCTCGGAGTCTGGCTGTCGTAAGGACTGAAGTTCGAAGAATACATCCAAAAGACGATGGAGAAGACGAGTTGAAGTCTGGAGATATTGGTACGGCTGATGTTAAACATTGGAGGCCCAAGTTGTCCCAAAAGAAGGATGCTACATTGAGTTTTTCAGTTGGTGGTGACCTACGCTGTCCCTATGTGGTGCAGTACACTAAACACTGCGAAATACGCCAAGTCGATGAATAAAATATATTTGTTGGGTCATATATCACAAGACTTCTAATCGATTAAGAGTTAACACCATAATAGATCTCCAGAGAGAACAATAATACCGCATTTAAAGATGTGACGAAAGTTTTGGGTAAAAATATAGATACTGATTACAAAAATACAATCAAAAAAATACCAAAGTCTTTTCAAGGCTTGGTTTATCTCATGAGCCCAAAGATACGTTTTCTCTTCAACCGCCAAGTCAATGTTTTGAGAATTATGGCCTGTAAGTAAGACAGAGATGAAAAAAATATCAATGACCATGGAGCACAACAATAATCTATTGCTGGATGCTACAGAGAGTTATTCGAGATTGATACATATTGTATTTATAGTGATACAGATTGTAATTATAAGCTAAATTATAAGAAGAGGCATAATTTAGCTTATAATTACAATCACAATTCACGGCAGTCCGGGGCGCCAAATTTGAGGGAGCTGATATAAAAATAAAATATTGTTTTACATTCATTATTTTTTTTAGAGTTTATAAATTGGGATTTTTACGATAGACCATTTTTTATGAGACATTGATTGATTGTATAGTAACATTGAACCTATTTGTATAGTAAGAATTCATAATAACTGATAATAACTAAAATAAACAAAGATTAATAGAAAATTATATACTAAAGTTTATTTTATTCTAAATGTCTCGATTCGTAGCCTTTCAATAGTTCCAATTTAATTAATTTAAAATTGTTGTAGTATGATTTAAAAACAATTAATGTAATTAAATATGTTATTTAATTATTGACAAATAGTACAGTAAAACCTCCCTTAACCGAAACCTTTTTAACCGAAACATCATTTAACCGAAACGGCTGACAGTTTCAATACTTTCGTCAATAAAAAGTAAATTTTTATCGGAAAACTTAAATTCCATTAATTTCACTCGCCGATTGATATCTATGTGTGTTGGGAAATCAAAAAAAAAAACAAGAGCTCTAAAAGATATTTGAGAAAAAGCACTTCCAGTTTTTTATAAAAGCCAAAAAAGCTCATCAATGTCGACCACTTTATTTTCAGAATGGTTCGAAAATGAATTCGCCCCAAGCGTAAAATCCGTTTTAAAATAAAAAAACCTTCACATCAAAGCATTGTTGCTTGTTGACTCAAAATCTATACAATAGTGATAATTGTCAGATTTGTGCCACAGAATGCCACGAGCTTAATTCAGCTGTTAGACCAGGGAGTAATAGAGACATTCGAGAGACATTATAGAGGAGTATTCTTAATCTGTTATTACAGGAGACAAATGAATCCAAAACTGTTCCTGAAATCCTCAAATATTTAACAATGAAACATGTTGTTTATCGGTGTGCTGAGTTCTGGGCCAAGATCAAATCTTCAACTTTGGAAAAATGCTGGAAATAACTTTTTGATAGGATTTTGATTGACGATCCTGAAGAAGAAAATGGTAGAAAAAATTAAACCTTTAATAAAAAATTTGTCGGAATGTGACGAAATTAACTAAGAAGACGTGAGTGGTTAGCAGCAGGTGACTCAGAAAGTGAATTCATCGACCAGGACAACATTGATATGGTTCTCTCATCCAGACAAGCTGAGCGTATCAGACGACGAAGATGACGACCCACAGGCAGCATGAGACCACCGACGAGATTTTGAATGCCTTAAGGATAAGAATTTTATGCAGTAGGCCTAATTAGATAGGGACACGACTAGGTTCTTAATTTTTGTTGTCATTGTATAAAGTTTTTTTTTCAGATTGCTTTACGTTTCGTCGAACGATGAAATGAGGCAAACTCACGACATTTTGCAAATGAACTATGTAGATATATAGCTGCAAAACATCGTTGTCAAACGGTAACCTAAAAGAAAATGCAAGAATTCATCTTGTTAAACTTGTTCATTTTCCTTAATTTTATTCCTTTATTCTGTATTTACTTATTAGAAAACATTACGAAATCACCTCATAGTATTTTTTAATACCAATACTTTAACCAAGGATACTATAAAAAAGCATGTTATTTTTAACCGAAACTCTTGTTATCCGAAACGGCCTCTCCACTAATTATTTCGTTTAACGGAGGTTTTACTGTATTACAAAGAAAATATTGTATGTCGCACATATGCAATAAGAATGGCATAACTTACTTTTCAAAGTTTTCGCTCCTTCGTCTCTCGAACTGCAAAGGCACTCTTTATGGTGTTCCATATGTATCATCTAAATAATTATTGTATTATTTTTTAAATAAATAAATTTTTACACAGTTCTTTATTGTGTAATTTGAATTTTTTGTCTTTTTTACTATTTTTTTTTAATTTGAAGAAAATTTGTATATACTTGTATAAAGGGAGTCAATTTTTTTTTGCTTACGTCATCCAGAACCCCAGAGTTCATTTGAATTGTAAAATAAATCTTAAAAAAACATCACATATTTTTATGTGCCTTACTTATATCTCTTTCGAGTAATACTATGAGGAAAAACAGTTACTGAATGTATAAAAAAATGTACTACGATAAAACGAAATTAATTTTTACGTTCAGCGCATCACAAACCATATAAATCACTTAAAATTATCAAAACAGTTTTTTACAATTTTTTTCCTGTGTTACTTAACTCGTTTTTATGTTATCTGGCTATACGATTGCCATTCTAATTTTATAAGAGTAAAGAATTACCGGAGAGTTCAAGGTTCACTAAAAATCAGAGACAGAATGGAATACTATTTTATTATTAAAAAAAATTAAAATTTAGAAGCTTTTCAGGTAGTTGTTTCAATTAATGTGTAATTCATTTAAAAATATTGATAGACATGCAAATAAAAAAGCCAAAATCTAATAGTTTGTAAATATGATCAAGGTATAAATGATTAAATATTTATAAATAATAATAATAATAATATAAATTTAAATTAAATCATAAAGCCTCAAGAGAAAGGATGCGCTAAGAGCTCCATGGGCTGCAAAGAACAACTTATTATCGTTGATAATATCGTGACCTTTTTGAAACATATATTGGCAGAGTGGAAGACTAAAATTCACCTTCAAATACCTGGTAAAACCTACATATATCGAAACTAAAAATATCCCTATTAACCAGGGCCTTTTCTAGGGGGACTCGTTGAGTCCACTTCTGCCTAGCCATGAACCCACTATCTCAGCTGCTGAACTCAATTGACTCAGGATTTAGCATCAAAAATAACAACACTGTTGTGGCGAAGCTTAATCATCTGTTGTATTTGGATGATTTAAAATTAATGGCTTCCACTTGAAACCACTTAGATCAGATCCTAAAAACTGTAGAAACTTTCTTAAATGATATCAGTATGCATTTTGGACTAGACAATTGCTGTATACTAAATATAGTCAGAGGAAAGGTTCAGCCCGGAGTTTTCGATATGCAAGATGGCCAAAACATCGAGGCAATGGGTCAAAGTGATATTTACAAATATCTCGGAGTAAAGCAAGTGCAGAAAATTGACCATAAACAAATGAAGTCTAAACTAACTTCGGAGTTAGTACGAGGGATAAGACAACTAAATGAATTATATCTTAACAGTAAAAATTTGTTTAAGGCAATAAATACGTACGCCTGTTCTGCGTTGAGCTACTCATTTGGTATTATAAAGTGGTCAAAAACAGATGTAGAGTATCTTCAGCGGAAAGTAAGAACGCTTCTCACAAAGGCACAAAAACACCATCCACGCAGTTAAGGATAAAGAACGCATATTACCGCGGTATCAAGGGGGAAGAGGACTTATAGACATAGGTGAGCAACTGGATAAACAGGTTACTAATTTAAGTACTTATTTTCAGGTACAGGCTAAGACATCTA